TGCTTTGTTTTGACGCTAATTATGTATTGTTTTATGTCTGTTGGCACAAAGTCCACTATATAAATTCCGCTTAGCAGTGACAGTGCATGTTTTGTTCGATGGACCAGTTACGTGTTTAACGGAATTAATCAGTTTCGACTAGTCATTTATAAATAGTTCTCGGTCAAAGATCACCATTAATTCTTATTATTTAAGTGCACATACCTATGTATGAGTCCGTGTGGTAACGAATTAAGAATACGGAATGTCACCACCTCCATTCATACCGTAGATGTCGTAATAGCCGACTAAGGAATCAAACTACGCAAGACAACAGCACTGCAAAGACAAGGAAAACTTGACACAAACCCTATACCAACCCGTCTCGCCTGCGTGGTATAGTAGGCCAAAACCTCCTTTCTAAGAAGAGACCTATCTCCAGCAGTGGACTGATTAGAGGCTGTTATTGTTGATGACATGCATGTGTGCATATCCTACACCAAACGTATTAACACACACTTGCCTTTAATGGGATACTTAGACAACACATTCCATGGAATAAAAAGTTAGGCCCCCCAAGATCTCATATTACGTATCGTAGATGGACCAATGACATGAGGAAAGTGGCTAGCAGCGGATGTATAAGGACTTCCCAAGACCGGGATAGTTGGCGCTCCTTAGGGGAGGCCTTCATTCAATAGTGGACGATAAAAAGCTGTTGAGGAAAGTAAATGTACAAGCCACTATTCAGCTATCGCGGACAGGTTCGATTGCCCGCACACCCACCAGCACAATAAAGTTGGCCTGTCTGTTTTTGTTTTTTAACGCGACTCCATCTATAAAAACGTGATTTAAGATAACTACTTTAGAGATCAATAATATTCGCTAACTACTTTACGTACAGACGGATTTCTTTTGTTGCTTATCAATATCGAAGAGAACTCCCATTCTCCTTATGAATGATTAGTATATGATTTTCGTTGTTCAAATAAATCCAGCTCCAAAAAATCTTAAAGTCAATCTACGCAGATTTAAAAATATACTTAATTACTCAATATTACTGAGGTACACACAGAATGAGGTACTTATATGATCAGGCCATCTGTAAACAATGTCAGGGTCATTACCTCATTATTTATCGAGCCGAGTGTTTGTCGCGATCGTGTATTATGTTGGTATTTTTGTAAAATCACCGGGCATTCGTTTTATAATCTTGGTCCATCTGGAAATTGTTTGGAAGAGATTGCATTTAGCAACCTGACTGTGGGACAGCTATGCTAGGATGCTAGGATCCATTAGCTTAAAACCGGTTTAAGCCATAATACCGATTTTCTTCGGTTATCTTATATATCTTTCATTACTTTTCGCCGAGTGACTGAGATTAACTGCAACAATTTTGAGGATCGAGACTTGAAAGTCTGAATCACTTCTGAGTCTTGAGTTGTAGGTGTCTATCTGAGATAGTAATCATATATCAGGTGGCCCCTATTGGTTTGCCTCGTATTAGAACCCAAGAGCCGCCCTATTTCATTATGGTAATGAAATAGAGCGGCTCTTGGGTTCTAGTGCATAGAATGGGAATTCGAATTTCAAACTACTTGTTCGCAAGTCTGACACTTTAGCGATTACACTACTACCGCACGGTGAAAAACACCGACAAAACTCGACTTTTTTCCATTATTATTTTTTACACATTTTACATACAGGGGCAGAGCTGGTCACTAGACTACTGATAAATATATTTATATATTTGCTATAAACAGGTGGCCCAACATGTATATTTGTAATGTAAATACATTTAACCACTGTAATTAACATTATTGTAATGCTTATGATGTAATAATAATGACCTGACACAAACTAGGCAGAACCTGTACTATGGTAATCCGACTCATATATGAGACATACATGTTATAAATAAAATACACCTAGACACAGAACAAATGACCGTGCTCATATCACACAATAATTTGTCTTGGGTGGGAATCGAACCCACGACCTCTGGCGTGGCAGTCAGGGTCACTAACCACTAGACCAACAGGCCAGTTAAATAAGTAAATGTAAAAGTACATAAAATTTATTTTAATTTTGTTTTATTTTATTTTAATTTTTAAGTACTGTTACTTTCACAATTAAGACAAATCTAACGACTCCTCAACCCCTAAAATCAATCAAACAGGTTAGGTTACAAAGCGTGTTAAAGAAATAAACATTCGAAAAACATAACTTTCCTTAATTGAAAAATCTTCTTTTTTTAAGTGGGTTAAAAAGCAGCATCACAAATACAACTTTTTCCCTTAAACTGCAAATTGTACACTTGCACTGCAACACCATCGCATGACCTTAACTCGACAAGGCTGCGCATGAGCACAATATGAAGAACATTACATTATTAGCTCACTTACCTCTTATCAGGTGATTCCGATGGTAATTTAACTGCGATTGATTGCACGGATGGCGTAGTGGTTTAAGCGGTCACCACGCCGCTCTCTTACTTACGCTGAGTGCTGTGGGTCCGATCTCCACACTTTGTGTGATTCACAATTTTTTGTTCTGAGTCTGGGTGTTTTTGTGTCAGTTTCATGTCTGTTTGTAAAGTCCCCCATGACACAGGATTGTATTTAATTTCACGCAATCATACAACAAGTACCAAGAAATCTAATCCTAATTGATCTTAATACTCGTATAATTATATATTATTATTATGTAAAGTTATAATTGAATGTTTGTTATTGGGTCACTCCAAAACGGCTAAATAGATCTAGATAAAGTCACAGATATATATTTTGCACATAAAAAATGTTCTAACACAGTTCTGAGACAAATTCGAAAAATCATAAAAATCGGTCCAGCGATTTTTGAATTAACCCGTCTTTGTTTTATTTGTTAAGATTAAACATCCGGTTGTTTTGTGTGGATTATATTTCGTGTTTAACATATTATTATGCATAAAGCAATAAAATATTATGAGTTATGATATCGTGTTAGCCTGAAACTGATTTACAACATGCAATATCAGTGTAGACCACGTCTAATATATTCGTTTTTGTGTAGTTTTACCACAATAGTGTTTATAGGACTGTTTGGAAATTGTGTTTTTCGAAATACTAGTGTTCGTCCGATACAGCGTCGATTTTGGGGGGGGAGGGGGCGGTCCAGGCCTTTCCTAGAGTACAGCTTGAGGCTGGTCGCCGGTGTGGCTTTTAGGGAAAACACAACATACTCCTGGTTCCTGCGTCTTCAAGGAGCCGGAGATCCGAAGGGATTTTCCACCCGGTCACCAAAAAGGAAAAGTGTTCGTCCGATGGTCGAAATTCAACCATATTCATTTCATTTGATGATCACATGAGAGGAATGGTGTGCACAAAGGCGAACTGAACCCATAGTTGACTTCTTTGCCAAACCTATAGTATAAAGTAATCTAAGAAGTGCATTTGAAACTTTCGTTAGTCACAGAACTAGAGAACACAGTTTTGTACGGAACGAAACATAAAAGTATTCTAATTTAGATTAACTAGAACTATTTTTTTTATTGGTAAAAAATTATATTACCGAGTTAATTGAAAGCAATGGGTCATATTTCAGTTTAAATTCTACAAATAATTTAAACAATCGCTTGATTCTTTCTTTCTGCGAGATTTTCGAGTTGCGTTCTATGAGTTTTATTTTTTAATTTGTGTTGTTGATGTTAATCGTTACGGAGGTAATGATTAATCGATTTATTTTACAAATCGTAAATTATCAAATGGACTTGCTAACTAGAGATCGTCTTCGTTATAATTAAATTAAACTAGCTGGCCCGGCGAACTTCGTACCGTCTTATAATTAATAAATTTGGTGACATACCATCAACACCACCTATTACACAAGCGCCAGGTGGCGGGTCGGGTCGGATCGGGTCAAATTGTGTTTTCAAACCATCCAGGAACCCATTGAAATATTCATACAAATTTCATCCAAATCTGTCCAGCCGTTTAGTTACAAACACACGGACAGAAGAATTATTATTATATTTCAAGATAGTTTATTGATTTACTCTTTTTCACTTTAATTTGATGCTTTTCCTATAGTTAAACGGAACTGAAGAAATAAATTCATATTAATTTTTAACTGTCAAAATACACCGTTTTAATTATTTTGACTAAACCTATGAGTGAAGAGAGATATATAAATAACAAGAGGAGGTCGCGTGTACCTAAAAATTAAATAAATTGGAAAATATTCCCTAGAACACTATAGAAGACACTTTTTACCAAATCGCGTGGCGACCATTTGGAATAGTTTACCGGAATGTGTAATTAGTACTGGATCAGTGAACATTTTTAAAAACAGACTATACGAACATTTGAAAACAAGAAAACGAACACAAATGCAGTGATATGCACGCATCAGATCTACGACCTGCTAGTGCAATAATAATATTCGGCAATAGGCTTGCTTCCCATTGTACATTGTATTAAAAGTATAGTCGCCAAAATGGTGCTAATTCTGTTGTTCGAAAACTCTCTAAACTAAATTGTCCTGTCAAATATTACGTTTTCAGAATAGGAAACGTTTTTTGACGGAACTAAACAAATTTTTAGTGATTTTTAGTTTAATTTATTACGCCTCTGTGTACCCCTTCGGGAATATAAGCATGACTTTATGAATCTACATACATATTAACATAACCTATACGAGTATACTTATAAGACGCCGCAAAATATGGATATCTATCAACAATTTATTGATTGCGTTTCACCTGACCTTGACCTTGAAGGAACAACGTCATATAACGCTCATAAATATGTAGAAGATAGAAATAGGTGTATCAATATAAACTGGTTATTATGTGATGTCTTAGTTCGCAGTTCAATCAATGCAACCCCTACGGAAATTATTATTACGCGTCTTCAAAAACATTTAGCATTTCTACATGTTTCCGTATGACGCCGAAATATGCTACACCTTTGTGTAGTCTTCTAAACTAATATAATAGATGCTAACTGTATTTTTTCATGATCTTTTTCTTATTGTTACAGTATGGCAGACAACACATCGAAGTGGCGGAGAAGATTGCTCGCAAAGACAGCTCCGACGAGGAGGATGAGGACCCCCCTGTACCTGACGACAAACCTCCTTCGGCCATCATCAAGGAGAACGGCAGTATTAATGGTAAGACTAACATTTATATCCTGTGATAACAAATCTCTGTCAAAGATACAGTAAAATTTGTTTCAAAAGGAAAGGCAAAGGCTAATGTATAATTACTTACACAGCAAGCTATTCTTTGGAAAAAAGACCCGACTGCGTGAAAATGTAGCATCATCATTATTAACAGCCTTTAAAAGTCCACTGTTGGACATAGGCCTCTCCTTAGAAAAATATGAAAGGAGGTTTTGGCATACTATACCACGCTGGCCAGACGGGTCAGTACAGAGATTTTTTCAAATTCTCCTTCTCTTTGTAGTGCCCTTGTCCTGCATAGATTGCTCCCTTAGTCCGCCCTTACATCCACGGGATGAATAGGGTAGGGTGGTGACACTGTATTCTTAATGCGTCACCACGCAGACCAAATGGTTAACTGCGTAAAATTTAGAGACCTTCAATTTTATTTTTTTTAATTTTCGTACAAACAGTTTTTTTCTTTGTCAGTTTCAAGCCTATGCCACCGAAAGATTTTAACAGTTCGAATAATACTCAATACATATAATTCAATGTTCAAGTATTTAGAAATAAAGATAATTTATTCGTTTTAGTTAGAAGTTATGATGAAATAAAGAAATAACTCTGGTAGGCGTAGTTCCATCTCAAGACCGGTAACGCACCTGTGACATTTGCTTCTTGCGACTCCTACAGACGTCGGTAATCGCTTTCTATCAGGACCCTTTTGCCCTTTTGCCTCCTACACCATGAAAAAATCACTCTTTTTTTGGATAGTCGTGGTAAAAAACAAACTCAAATTCGCATTCATATTATTTTCTATGTATAATGTGTATGTATTTACAAAAAAAAAGTATATATGTATTTATATCAGTTGTCTAGTACCCATAGTACAAGCTCTGCTTAGTTTGGGACTAGATGGCGTTGTGTGTATGTGGTAGAATATTATTATTATTAATAGTCAGGATATAACCAGTTTTTTTTTTTGCGTATAATGTCACTTAAACATTAAATGTCGGACTCGGTTCAACTATTAAAGATAATAAATACGACATAATACACAGCAACAAAAGGCCTCAATTAGGTTTTACAACATGAAAAGTCCGCTCGTTCATAGAAACCCATCATATTCTTCTATTAAGAATAATGATCTCGGGTTTCATGGGTCTAATGGAGGAACACGATTTTTTTATTGTTGGTTTTTATTATTTTTTATTAGTGAAGATCAACAAAAGAATTACTTAACACTGGTTTTCCGAGTGCCTGCCGATTTGTGCAAAAGCATGTCTTTCCCACGGTAAAAACTTCTTCGCCCACACATCTCTACGTATTTCTTTTTCTCTTTCATAACATGTATATAAATATATTCCAATTTTATCATTTTGTCCAATTGACTGTCAAGACTTTCTCCTTTTGTAACGTTAAGGGTTTATGTAATGTAATAATATACTTAGTTAACATAAATACGGATTTATAATATTCCTCGGCCCACCCTACTCGTAATACAGGAGTGAATTTAATTTATGTATGTACAGAGATTTTAAACGTGAATGATGTTTTTTATGACATGTAACAAAGAGCTCAACGATTGAATAAACTGTCGTTTCAATTTACCTAACCTCGTACATTGTCTGAACGCAATTTAATATAAAAATTGATTTCTTATTATTCTCAACGGTGTTGCGCTGTTGTTGACGTAAGACTTGCATCTAACAATAGAGTCTCAATTCTGTTACAATTACAAAACCCGGATTAAGTTAAGCTCGGATTATAGTCATAGCTTAATGGCGTTTCCAGAGACGAGCTCAGTGAGAGGATAGCTTCGAGATTCATCCCCTACAAATGCTTATCAGAACCCTAAACCTAGCGTTAATGTATACTTAGATGTGAATTGACATTATTTCTGTTTTATCTATTTTAATTTTAAAATAAAAGGAATATGTCCTGTATCGCGGGGGACTATACAAACACATGAAATGGACACAAACAACTCCCAGACTGAACAACAATTTGTGAAACACAAAATGTGTTTTCCCATGTGGTGATCGAACCCACAACATTCATGCTAGCAAGTGTGAATACCATGATCTTGGGTCAAGTAGGGTTATTTTTTTCTGCGTTTGGGCGATCTTACCATATATATTATAGGAATCAAACATCAGCTCAGGACCCATAATTTTTTTGTATCCGTGGTGCTTCTCTGTTTAAAAAGGTGTATGCCTCAAGGTGTGTGTGTTTTACTTTATATTTTTCATCCGCTTTTCTAAGGAGGAAAGTGGATTTATAATACTTCCAACTCCTCAAATTTTCTTCTGGTTAATTGTATTACGGGTAACAAGACAGTTTAACTTTTCCTGGGACTTCCCGAGTGTCAATACTGGTGTACAGGAGTTACAGTATTAGGAGTGTGGGAGGGATTAGAACTCGAGTGTATCGTGCTGGTAGTACATACTATCCCTGTTATTTATAATATCCTCATAATAATTACAGGCACGAAGATGACTGTGATAGAACGGCACGAGATCCTCGGTCCATCGCCAGAGTTGAACTATAAGAGGAGTTCAAGCCAGGAGAGAGTTCAAAACGGACATAGAACTGATCAAGCTAAGGGCGAAGTAAGTACTTTACATTATGTCAGTGTGCATTGATCTGCCCTGAATGATTATCACCTGTTTTCTGTGAGGTTGGTCATTAATAACTTATTATATAACTTTTTTTCGTTAATATATATTTTGCCAGTACCTGTGGAAAGTCAGTCGTAAAAACTTTACAAAGAAACAGAAAACCGCATTTATTACGATGTAAAAGCATTATTTTAATTTTAAACAATTGCAAAATAAACAAAAAATACACATTTACGATGGCAGTGACTCGAAAACAAGAATGAAACATATATTATAGTACATACAACTCAACATGTAAAAAAAATATACATATTCATAATAAAAACAGTACAAAGTACAAGAAACGAACAAAACACAAATTAATTAATACATATGTATTTCTTGTAATTTGCACCTTTTTAATTTGCATATGATACAAAAAAATGTAGTGTTTTTACATTAATGCGTTAAGAAAACACAAACACATGTTTTTTTTTTTAAATAGTTTTACACATCTGACTCAAACTAGGCAAAGTCTTTACTATGGTAACCAGACTGATCATAAACATACCTATGTTTTTCGAAATGCAAACGTATTACAGATAAATTACACCCAGACACAATAAATGATTGTGCTCATCACTGAAATATTTGCCCTGGCCTGGAATCGAACCCACGAGCTCCGGCTTAACAGTCATGGTCACTAAGCACTGGGCCAACCTGCCTGTCATATTTATATATAGAAGAAGTGTATAAAGCTAAAAAATTAAAACTATTACTTAGATTCTATGAAGTTTAAAATTATGTAAAACCAGTCAACAAATACATATTTCGAGCTGACATGATAGTATAAAAAAACTCCGAACAATAACAGTCCAAGTTGCACTGGTCAATTCTACTATAATATTAATTGAAACTAGTCGATTGAAACTGAAATACAGAGTAGAGTAAAAATCTTTTATCCATTACTAGCTGACCCGCTGAACTTCGTACCTCCATTTTATTTTTCGTAAATAAATTCCTGAAAAACTTGTTTTAATATTTATGCCTGCCTTTGCTTCATACGGGTGGTTTGTCGCGGAAAACGCGGATTAAGGAAAAGTAACACTTCCTCTAAATTTAAAACAGTTGGATTATCGAAAAATTCCATATATTTACACTTTTAATGACGTGATTAACACGTCAAATTAATAAGTACCAGAAATGTTACACGTTACGTACCTAATGACAAAAATGAGACAAAATCTTCCGTTTACAATACGACCACGAAATGTAATAAAATCACAATTAAATAATTCGACCATAACTATTGTAATGCCTTGTAATGTATGTACAACATTTTTTGTTCATCCTTCTGGATGGAAAACAAATAGAGCGCCGATGGTTTGCTGACTCCAGCCGACTCACGAGTACGCAACGGACGTCCGTTCCTGAACGTCATCCTGCAATGTTTTGTCAATATATTGAAGATCTCTCATAGTCTTCTTTCTGCCTCATTGACTCACTCACTTTTCATATGAGTGAGAGAGTTTTTTTTAAATTTCTTTTGCACAAACTTTGTCCTGACAATAACGAACAAAAAAAAATTCAAGTTGGAAACGAAACGAAAGTTATGCACGATCATACTTTTCGACCATTCATGTTATTTCTATAGAAGATCAACAACAGTTAATTGGAGCCGTGACTAGAACCTGGTCACCAAAATGCCTATAAGAAACGATAATTGCCTAATATACCTAATACAGATCCTAATATGCTCATCTGTATTGTCATTCCAGAACAAGGTCGACTTCCACCTATCACATTGTCTGGACCTCGTCAAAGCTGGAATGGAGTCCATCATCGAGGATCAAGTGACCTCCGTGTTCGAAGCCGAAGAGCTAAGAAGTTGGAACTTGCTCACCAGGACTAACAGGTAAGCCTTTGGAAGGTCAGAACCCTAATACGTCTGACAACATCAGAGATATTTAAAACATAAGTACGAAGCAAAATAGGAAAATGAAAAGATTTTAAGTATAGTTTTCAAATGTTACAGAAAAAATAATGTTTTCTACCCTCAACCCATAGGGGGAACCCTCTCAGTCGGGCTACCTAAATGTCTGTGGTGGGTTCTCATAATTAAAGAAGCGAGAACTTTCAATGTTTACGTTCGACGTAATTCTGGTGGTCACCGCTGGATGACTCTGAAGTAGATTTCTGTCGTATGTGTTTGGAATCCCAATGCTTTATTTACTTATTCTTAAGATTTCATATTTACACATTTATTTTGCATATTTAAGTTTATTTGAAATTAAAACGAAGAGGAGCTTGTGGCTTAGTGGTAACCGAGTGGATTAGTTCATTGCAAAGTTAAGCAACCCTAGAAAGGTGTATGGATGGGTGACCGTGCCATACAAACATCAGTGGCAATCGTTACAAGTATTTGCGAACCCTCAAATTCCGGCTACAGTCAGAACTTCGATATCGTTGTGGAGGTCTGATGGCACTACGTAAAAATCGAAGTTCAGACTGAAAGCTGACCACAACCTAGTTTGGGAAGACTCGAAGAATGATGAAGTAAGAAATATAGCGGCTACAATCTAAACGTAATATTTAGCAGTATTATATGATACAGACAATATTATTTGAATTAGGTGATTTAAATGTGCCAGTAAGACCTCCTCACTAACATTATTTAATCAAAAACAATATATAAATCACACGACTTTTTTACAGACTTTACGGATGTAACGAAAAGTTAGTATACAATATATAATACGCAATATACTAAAAGCATTTGTCAAATAGCTGTAAAATCATTGGAACAAAGTACATATGTCGTCCTTAATGACGAGAATAAAGAGAACATATTTTTTCATCTTTTTACAAATTTGACTGGTACTTTTAAAAGATAATACATGGAAAAAGATGAAACTTTGCTTTACTTAATTTACAAAAGTAGCTTGTCTTTTTTTTGTACCAAACTCTAACTCAAATATTTTTTTAATGAGTGCTATACGTCTTTTAAACACCAATAGTATACAAATAATAATCATATTGATAAAAATAACGAGATCCTAGAACAACAGAGACGAAATGACCCTGATGTCCTAAGGGAAATGTCATGAGAGTCACACAAATAATACATTTATATTAAGGCACATAGCAAGGCCTAACATGAACAGTCTAGCGCAGGGATTCCCAAACTATGTTGTTCCAGAGACCCCTTTTGTAAAATGAACTGATATATTAGACCCCCATAGCCAAATTACTACACGCTTATCCACTTGTTGCGTTTTTTAAAAGTAGAACAATGATAAGTTACTAAAATATTAGTCACTCTTATAACAAGTTGGTATACGTAACACAACTAATACACTAACTTGAAAGTTTCAAAATTTTCAATTAAGTAATAATTAATAGCGGTTGATTTTTAGACCTCGCGTCGACCCCAAAAACTAGTTTTCGTTTATGTGTCGACATACCGTACCCTTGGAAACCGATTTCGACCCCAAGGGGTCGATATCGACCACTGGGAATCCCTGGTCTAGCGTCACCATCTTGTAACTAAAGCTATGCAGGTTCATAACGCGGTCCATCGGGAAAGAATAAAGTCAAAAAATAAAGTCCTCAGAAAAGACTAACTCAGAAGAACTAACTAGAACTAACTAGAAAAGACTAACTCAGAAGGCTGTTGATGATGATGATGAACTCAGAAGAAACTCTTGACTATATGTATACAATATAATAATAATAATAATATATTATCTCCGCGTTTCATTGTTACACACCTTATATTGTTACTAATCTATTGAATTAAAACGATAAAAAACCCATTATGTAAACGCTGATAAAACACGTAAAGTCAAGTATATTCTTATTATCAATAAGTTGTGTATACAGTGGTCAAGTAAAATAATAATACTAATTTGACAAATCTCACACCCGGCCGTCTGACCCCAAAGATGGTAACCAAACTGCTGATAAACATACTTATATATTTCTAAATACATACATATTATAGATAAATAACACTCCGACAGAACAAATGATCGTACTCATCACACAATCATTTGTCCCTAACCACTAGACCATAAGGCCCGTTAATGTACTTCTATAAATTATTGTGATAAATTACAATCGTTTAATGCACCAGTCACCTTAAGGATGATATGCTTGACCGTAAGTAGCACGATCCGTAGCCCGTACGAGCCACGTTGTCTAATCTTATATATATTTTATATGGAGGTATTCTGAAGCCGTACGCCGAAGCGGTACACCGTACGTCTCACATCGATGTACGGTTCCGCCCGGTTTACCGAGTCGAGAAGGGTCACGACTCGTTAAGGGATGAAAGTTCGCTAAAGTTAAGGGATGAAAGTACTTCCTTTTTGTTAACAATGGATTTTTTTGAGTGTGTAAGAAAGTATCCGGTACAGAAAACTAAACGCCAGTTCATTTACAATTCGATCGAGAATGGGGGCCAGTGAGTGTAGGAATTTCTCAGAATACTTGAAGTAGGAAAGTCACATAATACTCCTAAGAAAATCAATATTGAGTCGTTAAGTGTACATTTTTCTTCTTCGTCTAATTACAGTCGGACCTATAAAGCTAATACATTACAATATCTATATCTATCTATATCCCTTTCTAGACCTGACAATCCCCGGTCTTTATTCATCAAAAACCTATTAATAGATAGAAAGAGAATTCACTCTTTATCTTCATCAAGGACGATTGCAATAGCTGCCTTCTCCAATAGGGAAAACTCCATTGTATTCGATGATAAGGCACAACACTACGTTCGTGTCCAAATTACCGCCGCGACATACTCACTCGATGAACACTCGGTGTAGCATAAACATGAAGAACATTTAGCATGTACGGTCTAGCATAAAACAACCTTTAAACGACATAATAACCCACAAGAAGGTATTTTATTAACGACCTTAAGACGTAAAGGATAGTGGTAGTTTTAACGTTTCAACTAATTGTATTACAGACAGTACGAGTTCCTGACGTGGCGATTAACGATCATATGGGCAATGGGCTTCGTGGTGAGGTACCTGTTCCTGCTGCCGCTCAGGATTATGATATTTATCATTGGGGTGAGTTTTTGTTTCTTTGAAAAACATCGTTAATAGCTCTGTACTAGAACTTAATTTCTATTACACTTGTTCGCATAAAGATTATTGCTATCACTACGCAAGCTACTAAAATTAGCCCTAAAAATAGTAATATTTTAAACTATGTTTAAACTCTTTAAAAATGTACTGCCACAGTGTGCAGTAAAGTTTTTTGTCATGTGTTCTGCTCCTATTGATACAGATACATATTTTTTCTTAATAGATAGTCTTAGTCAGTTTTTAATTACAGAAAGGTTTATCCAAATCTGATTCATAGTAACAGAACGTTTTCTTATCAGCAACTAACCAGGGGCAATGATCTTTTTGTATTTCATGTACAGCCATCAATAAAATTTACAAATTATGTTACTTACTTAAAATTATTCAAGTAAAAACACAATGTTATAATGATATTATGGATAATGTTCAATTCTGGACATAAACGGGCAATACCTGACCTTTATAAAAGAAAAACAACACTGGTTCCAGGGCCCGGTGTTCGGACCAGGTCCGGCAGACCGTGGGCAAAGCTAGTTTTATGTATAATATTATATTCAGGTAATGTTCTAAAGTGTTTACACATTCAGGTATTCGTTATGATAATGAGCACTTGGATAGTGAGCATGATCCCTCACGACGGGCTCCGGGGCCGTATCGGGCGCATCTCGTACGTGATGTCGCTCCGCATTCTCGTCCGGAGCATATCCCTCGTCGCCACGTTCCACGACGAGCAGTACTCCCCCAAGGGCAACGGTTTCTGCGTCGCCAACCACACGAGCGTCATAGACGTCGCCATTCTGAGCAGCAACAACTGTTTCTCATTGGTACCGATTAAATGTACACTAAAAAGATATGCTGGGAATGCGCTGGAAATGGGGATTGCTCGGAATCGCCTGGGAATTGCCTGGGAATCGCTGGGAATCACTTGCGAAATAAATAGGTTTAATTGTTATTGTCGCTATCAGGGAAAATTTAAATATATAAAGCCAGCCTTGGGTACGGTATGCCGGTTGTATATATAATGTTTTCGGGATTTTATAATTCGTTTTTCATATTTACACGATGTTAATTCATTGAGGGTTATTCCATTTGTGATTGTTTTTCACATTGCCGTTTTACAGAATTATAATACAAATATATATCAAAGGTATGGTCCGCTAACCTCGCTGCGATAAAATATATAAAAGTTTCACCTGTATATATAATATATATCATCGGAAGCTCATTATCATCACAACCATGTCATAGGTGTGGTGGCTGATAACGTGTACCGCATGTGTGGGGACCCTTCCCGATGGGAAGATGAAGCAGAGGGTTAACTACGCTGTGTCCTTGATGTGTTTCAACTTCTTGTCAAGATGCATATCAGCTGTTATTACGTACCACGACACGCACAATAAGCCGACCCGCGGGATATGTGTCGCCAATCACACGAGCCCCATTGACGCCCATGTGTTGATGTGTGACAACTGCTATTCGTTGGTAAGTTTCTCTGCTTTGCTTCCGATGTGCTACCGAATCCTATCATCTATATCAGGGATTCCCAAACTATTAACGGCAAGAGACCCCATTTCTTAATGAAACTGATACCTTAGACCCCAATAGCCAAATTACTGCACGCTTATCGACTTGTTAAGTTTTTTAAAAGAACAGCTGATAATTCCTACTTAAGTATCAGTCATTCTTATAACAAGTTGGCATACCGTAATACAACTAATACGGTAGCTTAAAAGTTTCAACTCAATTCAAATAAGAACTTGTGTTAATTAATAGGGGTCCGTTTTTAGACCTCGTCAACCCCCAACATTAGTTTTCGTTTATGTCGACTTCTTGAAAACTGATTTCGGCCCCAAGGAGTCGATATCGACCACTTTGGGAATCCCTGATCTATACGTTTAAAGTTGCTGGCCCTGACTGACTGAATGATTCATCAACGCAGAGCCTAAACCACTACTACTACAAGCTTGAAATTTTGGCAGCTGATGCTTTTAATGTCTTAAGCACCCACTAAGAAAGGATTTTTGGAAATTTCACCCCTAAGGGGTTAAAATAAAGGATAAACAGTTGTATGGTAGTTCGTCATTTTTAAAGTTAGAAACATAAAATGCATTACATTTTCGAGGTGTAAGGGGTTGCAGTTTTAAACAAATAACAGATGCAATATCGCCTACTGCTATGATTTATATCGGGTTAAGTTTATTTTTAATCTTTAATATGACGATATAATATAAACTGCTATTTGAAAGCAACGTTGAGGATTCGATTACCGCTCAGTGCAAACAATTATTTGCATTCATATTTTTAGATTAGACCTATTTGTCTGATTAAAACGATTCGCTATTTTTTAGAATATTTAATGATTATGACAGTAATCCTAGAAATATCTATTAATCTAAGAAAAAGGTAGAAAACTCCTGAAAGGTTTTTGTGGTAAGTGAAATAAAAAGGTAATTTGTCAAGTGTAAATCGCTTAGGAGTCAGCTTTAAGTGTTCGCGATGTTTATGATGTACACTGTTATGGCTGCTTATTCACATACATATATTATTCATAAATGTATATATATATCTAATCTAAAATCCTCGACTCATTCCATTAATGTATTTCTTATAGTTTTTCTATTTTAATTGCCAAGACCATTTCATCTCATAAGATAATAATCATAAATAACGCAAAACTCTAAATGTCATTATAAATCGCCCAACTGTCCCATTCATAGATATATAACCATGGAGAGAGCACGCGGTGTATTTGGAAGCGATACAGGCAACGAGAGAGATGGATTCCCGATATTTCCCTCTGTCTCTGTTTAGCTAAGCTGCGATTGTATACCATAGAACTCGGCTAGAAAGAGATAGAGTGGACTAACTATTATCCATCACTCTCCTTGCCTATATTGCAAGATTAGGGCTCATGTTTCCTCTAGGTTATATCTGTATGGTCCAATTTAGACAGCTTTGAATGTCTCATTTCATTGACCAGTACAACCTGCACTATCATTGTATAGATTTTAGTGTGGCTTTAGCTGTTTTTTTTTTGTTTTCTGTGTTAGAGGGGACAGACGAGCAGACGGGTATGTGGTCTTTACATATTTTTTAACTTTATAGCACATATTGCTTAAAAAAATAAGCTTTTTGGGGCTCGTGGCAGCCAGGTCAATCTATGGATGGGTGACCATGTCTTAACACATTAAGATCGGTCGGTTCCGGTTGCCATACTAACATCTGTGGCAATCGTTACGGTTAGTTTGAGGCCTAAACAGTCTAACAACAGCCTTTCCACAGAACTTCGATATCACCTACTTGGGTTATGGCGGTCTGATGGCAGTCGCTTCGCGTAAAAAATCAAAGTTCAGCCGCATCTTAGTAGACTTCAAGCCGACCCCAGTATAGTTTGGGAAAGGCTTGGAGGAAGAAACAGAAGCACTACTATGATGTGCGTTTAAATATGAGTGCAGATAATTTTATTGTATTGGAGAGCAAACGAGCAGACGGGGCGAGTGGCTACCGTCGCCCATGGAGACCTGAACTTCAAAGTTACAAGTGCATTGGCGTTCTTTGAGTCCTCATACCCAGAATCAAGGGAATTGCTTTAAAACTAAAACATATCTAAGTGTTGTTGATAAGGGAATAAGAGAATAGTGTTGTATTTATATGTACAGTCAACGACAAAAGTAGATGATCAAAAACTGAAACTAGTTTTGCTCCAAATATCATTTAATAGACAATCCATTTCTGATCTACTTTTGTACTGTACATACATACAAGGTCTTTTAAAGTTAGATGACCTTTTTGATGTGTCAAATATTTCATCTCGCTTTGTAAAGGGGACGGAAATGTATAACAGGAAACAGATAAACGCGCGCTATTTCAGTCAGTTGAAATGTCAATATGCGACTGGTGTAGAGCTCGCTTGATTTTTTTTTAAATGTAATTGGTGACTGGTCAATGAACATATTATAAGTCAACTAAAATATTATGTTTTGCGTTATTTTACCGCTTAATGTGTACATATTTAATTAAGTGTCCATTTTTTTTTGGGAAATATATAGCATGCTTTAAATTGAAGATTTTTAGTTATAATTAAATATTTTACTAATAATTAAATAATCATTGTAAATTTGTGTTGACTCCCACATGTTTTTATCTTTGATGGGGAAGATTCAAATGGTTTCCACAATAGGAAACTTCCTTGTCGAAACAGTTTTAGAAAAGTCTGCTTTGTGTTTTCGATCGTCAAATGACTGCGTTCTGCGCTGTGATTGGTCCGCACTGAAATTTTCACCAATCGCAACACCGAACACGCTCGCGAGTTGATATGAAATAAACTTACAATAGGCCCTCAGTTCTCAGATAAGCTCGTGTTTTTATTGATGAAATCAATTAACATTAAATTAGATAACTACGCGATCTTATTACTCGTATCAAATCTCACTCATGCCGTAAGGCGAGCAGACACCTTAGCCAATATTGTTGCGATCACTATCCAAAGTTACAAGATGATTGCTTTCTAACCAAAGTATCTATGACGATGAGTTTGTGTAACGGACTGCTATCCCAAAGGTCGCGGGTTCGATGCCCGCTCAAGTCAAACATTTGTGTGCATGAACATTTGATGTTTGATTTGGTCTGGGTGTTTCTATGTATAATATGTATGTATTTACAAAAAAAAGTATATATGTATTTATATCAGTTGTCTAGTACCCATAGTACAAGCTCTGCTTAGTTTGGGACTAGATGGCGTCGTGTAAATGTGGTAGAATATTATAAATTATATTATTATATTATACTTGATGATGATGACGTATAAATTAGTGCATATAATAAATAATTCCCACTGAACTTTTCACGAGACTATTCACTGTGTCACTACCCCTATTCATCCCGTGGGTGTCGTAAGAGCCGACTAAGGGAGCAAATTACGCAAGACAACAGCACTGCAAAGAGAAAAAAAACTTGACACAAATCCTATACCAACCCGTCTGGCAAGCTCGATATAGTAGTCCAAAACCTCTTTTCTAAGGAGTGCCCTATGTCCAGTAGTGGACTATTAAAGGCTGTTGATGTGATATGCACAAGTATGTTATAGTATGGTATTTAATTTCGAATGAAATACATTTTGAAAGTCTATCGTAAAATAAGAATAAAAAATATCTATAAATATTTTATATAAAGCTTTATTATCGGACTTTCATTTTCATGAATTAATTGAGTTTGTACAACATTATAGATAGGCCAGAGGCACGGTGGTTTCCTCGGCCTACTGCAGCGGGCTCTCGCCAGGGCTTCGCCCCACATCTGGTTTGAACGTTCAGAGGTCAAGGATCGTCACGCCGTCGCCAGAAGGTAAGCAGACAGTTTAAGTTTAAGACTGGTGAAGAAATTCTTTTAAATCAAAAGACAGATGCCTTTTATACCGGAAACACTACTTGCCAGATGTGCTTAAATGACGAGACGTGGGAGAGGCATGTTTCGGCATACATATGTGAGTGATGAAGAGTATTGACACTGTGAATTTATGTTAGTAGAATACCGATATTTTGACCGATGTCAATGGTATCCCAATACAATAACAATGGCTTGGCGTTCACATAAGATAGCAGAATTGAGGCCTTGGTAATCCGTCTGCTGGGTTGCCATTTCAAACCTTGTATGCCGTATCAGTGGTAATTATATTATTTTACGTGCGTCACAGATTAAAAGAGCACATATCAGTAGAAGACAACCCTCCCATCTTGATCTTCCCGGAAGGCACCTGTATCAACAACACGTCCGTGATGCAGTTCAAGAAGGGGAGCTTCGAAGTAGGCGGCACCATCTTCCCCGTCGCCATCAAGTAAGTGTCTTGAAGACCATCACTGCTTTAATCTCTTTTTCGTTTGTGTTTTTAAAACGATTCCGCTAAAATGAAATAGTTAGTAAGGTGTAAGTAATTTTAATAAAAAACGAACAATAGGCTTGTGTTCACTCATAACAAATTGCTTGGTTTATAGTTTCAAATTATAAATGAAGAGACATAGATAAGAAAAACTCAGTCTATTTCTCATAAAAGTTAAAGATTATTAATATTTTTAAAAATAAATTCATACAAAATAGGCATTAAGTCACGTGACAGCGAACACCAATCAGAAAGTGTTACGTCACGCCACGCAAAACATCATTGTTGTTGTTGACGTTTTCATACAACAGAGCAGGTTACTCCTTATTCATTTTTTGAAAACAGCTGACACTGGACATAGATGTAAACAGTTTTGTTTCGCAGACTGTAACATCATTCAAGACGCCATCACACTATCCAGCGTTTTCGAAGGAAATTTAAATTCAAATTGTTTTTTAAATACAAAATACGTAATGTAAATATTGTATACGTACGTACGTAATGTAATATAGGTTTTTTGGGATAAAATAGATAATAAAGTATATAATTAACCAAGTTTTCAAAGTGAGTCAACTAGCCTATTACCACATTTTTTGCAAAGCATAGTTTAGCGCTATCTATTAAAGACTAACCGAATTACGTAGTGACTAGTAAACAACTTTGTCCTAAAATACGCCACTAACACGCGGTATGTATGCTCTTCCAGATACGACCCTAGATTTGGCGAAGCGTTCTGGAACAGTTCCCGGTTCGGCATGCTGCACTACTTGCTGAACATGATGACGTCATGGGCCATCGTGTGCGACGTGTGGTACCTGCCGGCCATGACCAGGGCCCCGGGAGAGTCCGCCGTTGACTTCGCCAACAGGGTCAAGGCCGTCATCGCCAGGAGAGGAGGACTCGTCGACCTGCAATGGTCAGTTGCTGACTACTTTTAGCTAAATATATATTAGCGCCATCTACACGAGACTCATTCACTACGTAGTAACTAGGGATCCTACATAACGCAATGAGAGTTCACACGCTAATGAATCTATTAATTACTGTAAAAAAAGTATGAGGACTTCACAATCAAATATCCAACAAGAGACTGTGTTTCATCTGCGGTGATGATTAGTAGACATTTAGAATAAAACAGTATTTCTGTGGCACTTAATTACAAAAATGAAAGAAATAGTACCCAAGTAAACGTACATACATGCAAAACTTAATCCCAGAAGTGATTCTTTAAAATGCGACAAAGCCATTGACTTTTTTTCTCCATTATAAGGTTTAGTAATTATATATTTATTATTATATATTAATAATTATTCCATTCGCGTTTAGAAAATAGTGACGCATCAATCAAACTCCGCCTCCTGACCAATCAGGTTACAAGAAATTATCATTTCGTACAAAGGATGTGAACCTGATTGGTCAGGACTGAGGTCATTATTATTATTGTTTTATTTATTTGTGTAGATATATCAGCTATTCATATTTAGGGTAATAATACGTTGTCATTAATATTCCCTGTTGTCAAATCTATACAAATAAATAAAATTGGAGTGTCTGTTGGTAATATTAAAATAACCGCTTTTTACTAAATGCATATTATTATGTATGTTTACACGGTACATATGCCAAAATAACATTTTTTACAATTTTTGTCTGTCTGTCTGTTCGTTCCGGGTAATCTCTGGAACGGCTGCACCGATTTCGACGAGACTTTCACTGGCAGATAGCTGATGACATAAGGAGTAACTTAGGCTACTTTTTTTAGACTAGCTTCGCCCCGCGGCGTTGCCCGCGGTTATAACAACAAACGCGGGTAACACCGCGGGTCTCAGCTAGTCACATATAAACATATACGTTTTCTTGTTTCTTCAGGGACGGACAACTGAAACGAATGAAAGCCAAAAAAGAATGGAGAGAGCTACAACAAGAAGAGATAAGCAAAAGAATAAAAAGTGAATAAGTCTGTGATCGCGCTCGAACTGTTACAAATAACAGTGATTTATACTAGCTACGAGGAACTGATGCTAAATAAAAGTGTTTAACATTAGCTACGTACCAACTGTTACTAATAGCAGAGGCAAATACTTGATCCAAAAATGCAGATACATATTTTGATACAAGGCACAGGTACATACTTGATCCAGAGGAACAAATACTTATACTTGTCGTAAGGAACAAGTATTAATACTTGTTTCAAAGGAACAGTTATTTATATCTGAAGCAAAGACCGGGTATTTATATTTGATCCAAGGTAAAGGTACATAATCCAAATGAAAAGATATTTATGCTTACTAAGGAGCGGGTATTTATACTTTATCCATGGAACAACTATTCATACTAGCTCCAATAACTATGGACAATATGTGATTTGAAGTGCTGTACCGAATTTGAGATTAATTTTAATAGATAATTGTAAATAGGATCTTTTGCAATTGTATTTATTAGTATGTTAGTGGAAATGTAAGCCAATATATCGTATTAGAGATTTCGATGTATGGAATATCTCGAAAACGGCTGCACCGATTTCGATCAATCTTGTTATTAGTTTTAGGTACGTGATACATTATTTGGTGTATACTAGGAAATGTTTGTTGTACTATATTTATGAAGGACAAAAGAACCACACGGGCAGCAATCTATTCATGCGGACACGATAATCCAGCGTATATAATGTGGCATTTATGTTATAAGAAAACAAAGTATTAAAACATTGATCAAACATTTCCTAATGTACGCAAATCTTGAACACACAACAATGTAGGGAAACATTTTTATTTAATTCACATTCTAAAGCATTTACACAAATAGACACCGTATCGTTATATTCGCTGAGCGACTCTGTAAAATAATATTTAGTGTACAACACTAAAATGCTATAAATTTTGTAAAGAAACTTAATAGTTTTAAATGAATATGCAGTAATTATTAGAATATTAAATATGATATTCGTGGGCGAATCCAGGTTATGTGCTAGGTTGAGCCCATTCTTTAATACTTTCTTACAATCTTTTCTTTCATTGAGAACTACTCGTATCTTAGCTCCCTTGGGTACACCCATGTTGCTATTTACAAGTAAAAATAATAAAATTTTACAAGAATACTTTAACGTGAGGAAATCTTTTTCAGTTTTAAAAATAATTCGGTATAAATTACTTAAATGTATGCTAAACTTTTGAAAAGGCCTATACAAGAGACTTTAGATATCTGTGTAAAAAAAGTTATTGATGATCAAAGACGTGACAAATGAAAATATGCAATTGGTAAAAATATACACCATTACGATTATATTTACAGCAAAATAACGCCATCTAGAGAAAACTGGCTGAACTACGTTGCAACTAATATTATATCGCGCAATAAAAGTTATAAAAACTTCTCAACGTTATCTTAGCGGAACATTTTCATGTTGGAAGAAAATCTTAACTTAATTCCCCGCACGTTTCACCTAGCACGGTGTATGCAATTAAGATTCTCAGTAATAGACATATTTTTTTAGACAAACATGATCGATCAAATCAGCTATAAGCTTTCGACGGTGATTTTTTTTATTTTGCACGTCTTTGACCAACAATAACAGCTTGAAATATTATACAACTGCTAAATAATCCTTAATATGGATCTGTTGCAGACAATGTGCGTGTGTCATTACTTCTACGGATCAAATACTGTATTTTAAAACTGTAAACGAAAGCCATTAAACAAATAATTATGAAACTGAAATGGTGCATTTAGTGAAAGAAATCCCAGACCAGAAAAATGAGTTAATAGTGTTTTTGTTAAACTTTAAGACCCTTCTTAAGACATATCGCTGGTGAGAATGCAAAAGAACGTAAGAGCAATTTGTTAAACTACGTATTAATAATTGTTAAATTTTAACAGAAGAAATAATCTTAGTTAATATTAAACGTTTTTGCGTCTCAACTTGTTTGCGATTCATTCAAAAAATTGTCGTTTCGTGCGATAGCTTGGAACCTGATTGGTCAGGGTTTGGGGCTTGTTAGATACATCACTATTTTCTTAACACGAATGGACTACAGCGCTTTACTGCCTGCGTCCTCTGTACTCCTGACAAGAGTCATTTCAAACGCCGTATTGTTTGTCATTGACGTTACAACGTTAAGCGGGTACTTTGGAAATTAAAGGCAGTAAATTAGGACTATATTGAATGGACAGGTGGGGAAGCTAGTAGAGATGGGTTTTGAAGGACCAGCAAAAGTACCAACACGTCGAACACCTCTTACCAATCAATATGTATAAAACATTTTATGTAAATAAAAAAAATCGCAACAAACTTATATTGCGTTTATATTATTATACAATTAAATTGATCCGTAGAAGAGATAAATATGAAACCATTAATTTGAAACCCAAAATTATTTTTAATGAAAAATACGGCTAAGTGGATATTTTTTTAAATATTCGTTTACATAAATCATTCTATATAATTTAATAAAATTATTTATTTATTTATAGATTAAACTAGACATCAACAAAGCAAAACATTATACTACCATTGTACACATGTTTATGGTTAGATAATATTGTTTAATTAATTGCCATTATTCATTGTTGCAGACAGCAAAGAAAACAATTTTTCTTAAACCCTGTAGTGAACACAGAAGTGTGTTTAATAATGTACTATATATATAATAAATATAAATAAAATTGTGTACAAATACGATTTATCTCTCGGACAGTAGAAGTATAAATGCTGTTTTGATATTGAAAATATCGTTACGTCATCACAAGCTGGTCAAAATCTCACTGGCGTTATTAAAGTATGGAGTACCGACTAAACCTGTGTTTGATAGTAATTCTTAGAATTTAAGCCTTTCCTTGATGGGTATTTTTACCACGTATCTATTTCTTTGTAACTGTGATCGTCTAAATAAATTTTATTACTGATAATCCGTTTCGCTTCGCAACAGTTGGGAATGTGAAATGCATATGTCGATGGTACCCTATACTTTGTAATTCCTTTGAGATGTCATTATAAATTGTCTATGGTAGGAACTAAAGCGTTGTAAATGCAAATTTATTTTCTTACGACGGATGTTAAAAAAAGTCTAATCCAAGGTTTGTTTGAAATGTCACGTTCAACGGAATGTCAGTTTTATTTAAATTTGGAATGTCAAAAATGTTGAACTGTCAAAATGTGAGTTTAATGTGTCTGAGATTAGATTATTTACTAACTCCGACGTAACGCGAACTGTACTTTAGTTAAACAAGACTGAAACATAAGGTTTGTAATACAATGCCATGTTAGAAAGTTCTGGTGGACATCTATTAGTGGTAGGGTGCGGGGTGGTGGTGTCTGTCAGACGCCCAGTTATCAAATTCGGTATACTTTTATAATGTGGAGTAAGGGTGAATGGAAGCAATATATTTTTCGATTGCTCAAGCTGAATGATGTAAAAATAAATGTTGTAATATATTATTATGTCTTTTATTGTTGTAATTGCAACAACATTAATATATACACATAAGTATCGAAGGTTTACTGACACACCCAGCTAAGTACTGTCTACTAGTTTATCTTTAAGCAAAAAATCGCTTCTTAAGAACTATAAAACCTACGAGTAATGTGACTGCATTAAACGCATAGAACCTCTATATTGACTCCGTGTGCGTTACCCCAGCAAAATAATGTCGAAAATGGTCATTTAAACTTTATAGATAATTAGTTGCTCCCCTTCTGTAATTGTTAAGCACATTTTTAAATTTGTTTTACTTAAACTTTTTTAGTTATTTCAAAAAAACATTTCCTGCTGGAGTAACGTTTGAAACGTTACCGCAGCCAGACATTTTCTTTTTTAATTGTAATATTGAAATAAATTTTAGCTAGATAATTAGTTATCTGGACTAGGTAAATGTTACAACTTATTTGGTATTTGTATTTTCTTCGGTTGCGAAGTTATTCGAAATCCTGCTGGAGTAACGTTTGTGGGTTTGCTGGATCTCTGAAACGGGTAAGCGGATTGTAACCATCTTTTGTACATAACTTCTTAAGGATTAGTTTTAATTTGTTCGACAATAAAATAATAAAAATAATGGACCGTTTAAAAATTATTTAGGTAAGTATGAAAACACTTCAATACGTCCTAACACTTTAAATAAGACCTCTAAAGACTTACTTGAAACGTTATTTTATTGCTTGTAACTACCTTCAAATGTATACGAATTTTCGTAAGAATACTGTAAGTGACTAAAAAGTTATGATGAAATGTAGCTCTCCACGTTCACGATCACAATGTGTGCGGCCTTTTTTGGCCACCGATAAACCTGTGTGTGGATATATAAACTGAATGTTATGCCAATAATTAGTTGTTTAGTTCAGTTGTCTACCTGTAAAATTTCAGCGTAGTACATATAATAATTTACGAGATAATTAAATAAAAGTCATTAGAAGGTGCAAGACCGTGGTAACCCGACCATGTTTAGGTGGTTACAAAAAAGCGATCACCCAGTACATTGTGCTGGCTTTTAAAATATGTAGGATATTATTTGGAAGTTTACTACGGATATGTACATAAGTGTTACAAAAAACTACATGTTTTTTAAATATTTTTTATTTAGGATTGTTTATTGCATAATTAGTAATCAGCCGGGAGATTAGGTATTGTTTTGAATGCTTTTGTTTTCTCGTCATGTTTAGGTGAATTGTTTATAGTTGTTCATATAATTTGTACCTGCGTAGTATTTGTTAATTGAAGTTTAATTTTAGGGTAGGTATAGGTAATTTAAGAAATATGAAATGAAATGATAAGTTTTGAAGAGTGTAACGTATGCGTTGTAAATAGGTATTTTGTGAATAGATGGGTATTTTTTTAAAGGGTGAATCGACTTAGGCTAGCATATCGCGAACAAACTCTGTATTGCATTATTTCTGTAATAATGTTGGAGAAAATAAAATATTTGATCACAAAATCGCGGTGAGTTAAATTATAATAAAATAAATTATTTATGTAAAATTAGTAATAAGTGATATACCTACCTAAAAGTTATGATCGTTTTTAATTTGTTCACCCTGAACGAAATTTCAATATTAGCATTAGTAATTAATATCCTAAGACAAGAATTGACAATTACTTAAATTGAATCGAATTAGCATTAATGCCTATTATTAGTAATTAGGTACACACATATTGAAGAACTCTCAAGAATACGATAAATATTTTTGCAAAAATAGGAAGCGGAAGCGCACACGTACTTTACAACACGTATATTATCTGCCTAAGGGTCAAGTTTAGTGCACTAGATGCAAAAGGCAAACAATGAAGTATCCCTTCGCCCCTCCGATCCCGCGTTCTAGCGAAGGATGTATTATCAGCGATTCTTGATTGACAAATATTATCCGACCAATAATTTTATCTATAAAAATGTATCACTTTCACTCGATAAATTAAATTACCGTTATTATATCAAAATATCATTCAACAACTGTTCGTTTTTAACAGAAATCAACAGTCACGGGCTTAACGCTTAACGGTAGGTACATAGGTATAGATAATTCTCGGTTCTAGGTATAGACCACAGAACAATATTACCTACTCTTACGAGGTATGCGACTGTTGGGCGATGCAATGTTGATGCATTCTAATTTACAACTGTATTCTTCTACTATTCGGTCTATTTTAACTTATTGTAGATGACTTGTTGCTTTAAATATTTTGATGCATTCAAGTCTAAGCTCTATACACCCCAAAATAAAATACAATTACTTTAGTGTTATTTCTTTACAAAAAAAAATCAAAGAAATGAAACGATTTCTTATTGGTTTAAATTTTCGTTTTATTGCAGTCAGGTGAATCGTTCATACATGTATCTACATATTTATAATTTTAGCGGACCAGTGCAGATTTTCTGTTGATTGTAGCTCCGGTAGTAAAAAAGACTAAATAAATTTTAAGTAAAGAAACAAGTGCTTAAGATCAATTAGGGAAAAAAAACAAAATAAATAATAGGTAATAATAATGAATAAATATTGAATGTATTTAACACTGTACGCAACTGTACCGAAATCGTAAGGTGTATTACACTAAACATTTTAAAAGACAGCGCAATGTACTGGGTGATCGCTTTTTTGTAACCACCTAAACATGGTCGGGTTACCACGGTCTTGCACCTTCTAATGACTTTTATTTAATTATCTCGTAAATTATTATATGTACGACGCTGAAATTCTACAGGTAGACAACTGAACTAAACAACTAATTATTGGCATAACATTCAGTTTATATATCCACACACAGGTTTATCGGTGGCCAAAAAAGGCCGCACACATTGTGATCGTGAACGTGGAGAGCTACATTTCATCATAACTTTTTAGTCACTTACAGTATTCTTACGAAAATTCGTATACATTTGAAGGTAGTTACAAGCAATAGAATAACGTTTCAAGTAAGTCTTTAGAGGTCTTATTTAAAGTGTTAGGACGTATTGAAGTGTTTTCATACTTACCTAAATAATTTTTAAACGGTCCATTATTTTTATTATTTTATTGTCGAACAAATTAAAACTAATCCTTAAGAAGTTATGTACAAAAGATGGTTACAATCCGCTTACCCGTTTCAGAGATCCAGCAAACCCACAAACGTTACTCCAGCAGGATTTCGAATAACTTCGCAGCCGAAGAAAATACAAATACCAAATAAGTTGTAACATTTACCTAGTCCAGATAACTAATTATCTAGCTAAAATTTATTTCAATATTACAATTAAAAAAGAAAATGTCTGGCTGCGGTAACGTTTCAAACGTTACCCCAGCAGGAAATGTTTTTTTGAAATAACTAAAAAAGTTTAAGTGAAACAAATTTAAAAATGTGCCTAACAATTACAGAAGGGGAGCAACTAATTATCTATAAAGTTTAAATGACCATTTTCGACATTATTTTGCTGGGGTAACGCACACATTGACTCCCCTTAAATCCCCTCGGTAGGCAGGACAACTGTGACGCTGAGTGTTGTGGGTTCGATCCCCACATGGGACGAAACTTCGTGTGATCCACAAATTGTTGTTCTGAGTCTGGGTGTTCTTTGTGTCCGTTTCATGTATGTTTGTAAAGTCCCTGCGACACAGGATATATTCCTAATGCAGGAGTTGTCTTTTTAAGAAAGAAAAATACTGTCGTGCCAAGCGCCCTAGAAGTTGACGCACGCATTTAGTGTCATCAGATATGTAAGGTAAGGATACTGAGTGAGTAAGAATACTCCTATGTTCAACCAGTAGGTGTCGTAAGAGTCGCCTAAAGGAGCAAACTGCAGGATAAGGCAAACTTGAAACAAACCCGTCTGGCTATTGTGGTATAGTAGGCCAAAATCTCCTTTCTAAGGAGAGGCTGATGTTCAGCGGTGGACTGTTTTCTTTAGGAAACTCAAATAGAGGTTCTATGAATGCTTGTGGATTATTTATAAGTTAAGTCATTGCTAGTTTAAAAATAAAATGTAACAATATTTCACATATTTATTAGTAAATAATATAACATTTAGTTTCTACTATGTAAGGCGGGAATAAGGCAGCTTAGAACTCCTCGTTCTCGAATGGATGATATTTGTGGCCCAGGGAACTGTAAAAAACATTTTAATATTTCAGTCAAGTAAACACGCAAATAGCAGAGTATGCAGAGACAATAGAACGCTATTTACTAAACTTTATAGCCAATTATACACCAAATTTTATAGACAATTAGATGTCAAGTGAATCTACAAGTATCAAGTGGACAACAATAGCAGTTGTTGGACATGCACTTTATTGCTTAATAGTCACATAAACAGCCTTTATAGCCTTTACTATTTAGCAGGTCCACTGCTGGACATGCTAAATAGTAAAGATTTCTAATATAAATCGGCATACACAAAAACTATCCTCTTGCAACCATTTTCTTTTATTATTTTGTTTGTGTTGCCAATTAAAAAAACTATTCCTATCATGGATGGAGTTTTTAGCTTATACTATGCAGGTTATGATAACAGCTTGGAGAAAAGAATTGTTACACTTCTGGAAATTCATGGTTTTTCTTAAATTTGCAATAATACATTGTCGTCGTATATTATCTTATATTGTTTAACGTGGGTTACACTTATATTTCTAGTATTTATATGAACCCCCTCCACCCCTCCCCCCACCCCAATGATTCTGACACACCGCAACATCAATAACTGCGGTTGGGGACGGGGGAGGGGGTGACAATGTGACATCCCGAAAGGGGTTCCACACAAAAAAGCAATTATGCTGTGTTTAAGGTATGTGATGCTAAATGATCAAATAAAAGTGAGTACTGACGCATTCATGGGCACCATGCGTCCGTTGCAGTCGAAGGAGTCGATGAGCGCCATGTCCTCCTGCGACAGCTTGAAGTCCAGCACGTCGAAGTTGCTCGCTATACGGGACTTGGTCACCGACTTGGGGATCACAATGTTACCGCGGTCTATTTGGTACCTGAAATCAGATATACAGATATACATATTAAAACAATATGTGCGTGAGAATGAAGAATCGGTGTGTTATTAATTAATGGTATTAATTAATCCCGTGTCGTATGAGGCGACCGAGGGAGCAAACTACGCAGGACCACAGCACTGCAGGCCAAAACCTACATTGTAAGCAGAGGCCTATGTCCAGCAGTGGACTATTAAAGGCTGTTGATGTGTTGTGATGTATGTGAGCATAAATAATATATAATAATAAGCTTAACTTCTCCCCCCCCCCCCCCCCTACAGGTGTCCGTGGTGCGTGAAAATATATTGGTTGGTTGTAGACTTAAAATTTAAAAACTGCCGATTTTAATTTTCGGGTCGGGTAAAAAGGTAACGTAAGCGTATCAGTACCCAGTATGCCGCTTAGAACATGCTAGGTGGATAAAACTCATGTCATTTCCAGGAAATCTTATTTGCAAAACGTAAACAATACCCCCAAAGCCCGAATTCCGAGAAAATGTTGTTCGTCAAATTCGCAAGTGGTGAGTCATAAGGGTCAGAAGTCAGGTAATGAGTTTAATGCAACCCTTTCAATCAATCAGTTGCAATTTAGCGATACTTTCGTGCACATCTCATATTGTAATATTGTGAAAGTTTTTGTGATGGATATTAATACTGAGTGTTCAAAGTTCATCGTTTACACTGTGTTAGTAAATGGGGATGTGATGGAAGTTCTGAGCACAGCACATATAAACAGAGATTTGAGAACCCTAAAGATGCGGAAGACTGGCTACTAACGTTTGAGGTAACAAACAAAAATTATACATGTAAATTTGGAAACCTCTTTTTAAAAATATGATGGCGGTTACTTTTACCTAATGTGAAAAGATTTATAAACTCATCTTTTTCGGGAGTCAAACACGCAATTCCCATCTTGAAAAACCAATAAAATTTAAATTTTCACCTGATAAGTACTTGAGCGGTGGTCTTGCCGAGTCTTTCAGCGATAGCCTTTAGTTTGTTGTCGTCCATGAGCTGCGGGTCCCCGGGCTGGGACCAGGGCCGGTCGGGCGAGCCGAGCGGCGAGTACGCCGTGATCTTGATGCCACGCTCTTCGCAGAAGTCTTTGAGACGTTTCTGGTTCAGGTAAGGGTGACATTCTATCTAAAATTTAAAAAAGACATGGTCAGTTTATAATGGTATTTATTTTAACATAATTAGTTAGTATAATAAATAAATTACAGTCAAATCATGTGGTCTGTCATCATCATAATCAACGGCCTCTAATATCCACTGCTGGACATAGGCCTCTCCTTAGATCCTTTCTACAGTTTTGGTCTACTATACCACGCTGGTTGGTTGGGTCGGTTGACGTGGTTCATAATCATTTCCATTTATTTATACTAGATCGTAACGATAATTTTTAGTATCATGTACTTTTCTGACGAATTCGATATTTCATAATCGATATTTATATATAGCTTTAGTACTAGTAATTATTGCACCATATATTGTAACCGATTTCAAAAAAGGAGGTGATGCTCAATTCGGCTGTTCTTACCTCAGAACTCCAAAAATTTATGAATGCATTTGGATTAACTTGGACCCTTCCAAGTTAATCCAAATGCATTCATAAATTTTTGGACTTATTTTTACATTATTACACTCACTGATTGGAGCCATTCATATTTGAAGAAAAAATACCAGCCCTAAGTGTGACAAATTAAAATGGTTTTCTGGCAAGAATTTGGTTTTCAAATATTTAATTCATTGATATTGTAACTGCGAATGATAAAACGTGTCTAACCTGGTTAGTGACGGGTTTGATGGTAGCGTGCTCCAGCAACCGGACGATTTGTTTTGAGTTGAAGTTGGAAATACCGATGCTGCAACGAAATAATTCATATTTAAACACTTTATACTATAATTTCTACCGTGTGATCTGAATATGAAAAAAAAAATTAACCATATTTGTCAAGTCGTTCTCGAGTTGTGCCTTTAGCAACACATTTGGTTATTCATTTTTTTATGTTGATGTTTTGTATTATTTGTATTCTTTGCTTATTATTGTATAGTTTATTCACCCTTAAGTATTACTATACAGTATAGTCTATCCTGGCTGTCTGTAAGGAATCGCAAATTGTGATGAGACCGCCCGTTGTACTGTTTCTTAATACATATTTCTAGATTGTACAATACTCTTACAATAAAGAGTATCTATCTATAACCACGACTTCTGGTTTATCAGTTACAATCACTAATCCAAGTAAAAAAATAACGTTATATTTATCAAAAAAATATATTTAAGTGACCTCTTGACGAGACCTTCATCGACGAGCTTCTCCATCGCCTTCCATGTATCAACGTAGTCCACATCAGAGAACAATATCTTGCCTGACTCGTCGGAAGGGAACAGCGGACCATCCTCCTGGAAACAGATGTTGTAACAATTTAGTTAAGATAGCCTTAAGTTATTTCTGTAAGCTTGCAATACATTTATTTATTTAGATACATATTTGTATACATCTTTTAAACCGATTTGACGGACCCGTTGGTGCAGTGGTTAGTGACCCTGATTGCTAAGCCGGATTTCGTGGGTTCGATAGGACAGGTAATTGTGTGATGAGCACAATTTTTTTTGTGTCTGGGTGTAATGTAATTTATGGGTGGAAAATTAATAATTGAAGAATACAGTTTACATGATACATGATATAGGTATCTTGTAGCCGGTGGTACTATTTGTTGTTATCGCACGTTAATATTAGATATAAAAGCGTTGCTCTATTATACTAGTTTTTTTAGGAAGAGTGAAGCAACAAACACCGGTTTTTTGTTGTTTAAATTTTCCCAAACTATTATATAATATAGAAGTGGCTGGCCTGCAATGCAATGGTAATAATACAAAATGGGCATTAAGTCACGTGACAACGAACACCAATCAGAAAGTGTTACGTCACGCCACGCAAAACATCATCGTTGTTGTTGACGTTTTCATACAACAGAGCAGGTTACTCCTTATTGTTTTTCGTTTTTAGCATATTTTCTCACCTTAATGCAGTTTTGTTTCGCAGACTTTGACGTCATTCAAGGCGCCATGACACTATTCAGCGTTTTTAAGGGTAATTTAAATTGATTTTTTTGTTTTGAATTGAAAAAAAATTGATTTTTTGAATTGTAAATATTGCTTTTTCTCTAAAATATAGGTTTTTTGGCATAAAATTTATATTAAAGTATATAATTGACCAAGTTTTCAAATTTCAACTAGCCTATTATATGTTATTAGTTAGGGTATAAAGATATTCTTTCAAATTAATATAACTTATTTGTATAACAGTTCTAACAAACAAATTTGAGTTTAAATAAGATGTACAATTTTTTGGGAGGTATTATCGTCACTCGTAAAATATCTTCGAAAAATATCTCAAAGCATATTCGCTACACGAGTGGTGTATATCCTGTGGAGGTTATCACCATACATACCTTGTAGGCCTGAGGCCAGTGAATGAGGTATAAGTCCAAATATTTAAGGTTCAAGTTTGTTAAGGTCGCCTGGAGAGCTCCGCGGACCAGGTCTGGGCGGTGAAATGTGTTCCATAACTTCGACGTGATGAACAGATCTTCTCTGTAAAGTAATCGCAATTTCAGTTACAAATATACAAATTGTTAAACACACTGTTACACTATGGCTTTAAATATACATTCTGGTATATAGAATTAATCTTCAACAGCCTTTAATAGCCCACTGCTGGACATAAGCCTCTCCTTAGAAAGGAGGTTTAGGCCTAACTATACCAAGCTGGCCAGGCGGGTATGTAAAGGATTTGTTTCAAGTTTTCCTTCTCTTTGCAGTGCTGTTGCCCTGCGTAGATTACTCTTGAAACACCCACGGGCTAAATAGCGGTGGTGACATTCCGTATTCTTAATCCGTCACCACCCACACCAGACAGGAATACTAATAACCTGAATTCTAGAAGTTAGAGGCCGGATTTCACGGTAACAGGCAGTTCGAGTTACACGTAGGCGACCCTAACTTTCTTACACTGCACCATCCCTTCGTATTAGCAATATTCCTTTACTACACTGCCATCCGATCTTAACCAATTTTCTTCTCATTCTGAACGCTCAATTGTCCCATTTGACTGCCTCGGTGCTAAGGTATCGAGTTGATTCTGCAAATATTCGTTTCGGAGCTTGGGTGTTCTCTATGTATGTACAAAAAAATATATATAGGTGTTGTCAGTCAATCTAGCTTTCATAATACAAGCCTTGCTTAGTTTGAAACTAGATGGCGTTGAGTGTCAGATGTCCGAATATAAGAATATAATGTTATTATTAATATTTAATTCCTAAAGAGCCCTATTGACGGTAGTAGGCTTGCAATGTTACTTGAGTGGGATTAAAATAATAGTCGACAAAATGTTATATAATAATAATATGCTACCACATTCACACAACCCCATCTAGCACCAAACTGAGCATAGCTTGTATGGGTACTAGACAACTGATGTAAATACATAAATATGCTATTTTTTTTTTAAATTCATACATAGAAACACCCAGACCAAATCAAACATAAAATATTCAAGAAGACACCAACCGTAGCAGTCCGTCCGTTACACAAACAAATGTGTGCGTTTAGTAGGCCTCTGCTTACTTCTTCGGCGTGATATGGGCGTGAGTGTGTGTATTTATATTGTCCTTTAAATATTTTCTATAATGTTTACTCTATAATGTAATACTCTTTATTTCTTAAACTTGTAATCTGTCATAGTCTCTAATGTATTGTTATAAATTACATGTTGTTTCCGGATCGATGCGACCTCCAAACCCTTTATGAAAAGAGCGCACTCCCAGCCCAAAGCCGGCAACGCACTTGTGTAGGCATGAAGTGATTCCATTTTAATGACCCATCTGCTCGATTGACCCCTCTATCATGAAAAATATATATAACAGGCAAACTTCATTTAGGAGTTTGGACACGCGTTGACTGCACGGATGGCGTAGTGGTTTAAGCGGTCGCCACGCCGCTTACTTCGTGGGTCCGATCCCCACATGGGACGACACTTTATGTGATCCAAAATTTGTCGTTCTGAGTCTGGTTGTTCTTTGTGTCCGTTTCATGTATGTTTGTCAAGTCAAGGCAAAGGATGAAGGATAAATTCCTAATGCCGGAATTGTCTTTAAAAAAAAGTGTTTATGCTGATAAATTCTGCTGAATAGATAAATTAATTTTGATATAATTATTTTTTATTTGGAAGGTTGATAATGATCTATAGTATTTTTAGCTATACTTAATTTAACAAACAGATTTTTTTTAATACTTTAAAGAGTTTTTTTGTTCTAAAATAGTCTTGTACTTTGGACGTAGTAACATGTTTTTGAGTTGACTTTGTGTGTGCTTATCTATAATTTTCAAATTCTTAAAAACTAGGAAATAAAAGTACTTGTAAAAAAAATTAAAAGACAGACAGGCCTGTTAGGTGTTAGGGACTGATAAGCCAGAGTTTGTGGGTTCGATTCCCCCATTCCGCGAATAACTGTGTGAGGAGCACGATCATTTGTTCTGTATATAGGTGTATTTATAAAGAAATATGTTTATCAGCCATAGAGCAGGTTATGCCTAGTTTAGGATCAGACTGCCGTGTGTGAGATGTGTGAGGTTATTATTATATATGTCAACAAATGTTATGGTTTTTTTTTGTTGTTACCTCTTAACAGTGCCATCATTGATCTTGACCGTGATGGCTTCTCCAACTTCCTTCTCGTTGCCGTAGACGAACGCGCAGTCGATGTGACGGTAACCGATATCAATAGCGTCCTTCACCGCCTGCGTCACCTCCCCGACCTTCGACTGCCAAAGAGATATAACGCTTATTGGGTTATAAGTATTAATTGATTGTATTATCTGTAGGAAACATGAGATAATAGGTCTGTGTTAGTGACCTCAAATATTTGGGCCACTGATACACGAGGTGGCCAGTTTTAATTGAAATTATCATCTGAAAAGCTTATCTTATTGCTCCCAGGTTAGTATTTAAATATACGAGTAAATGTCCCCCAGCAGCGGCAGATGTGGCGTAACAAATGCTCACTTGCTATGCTTAGTTGAGATCCAAGTTAAATTGAATAATATCCTACAGAATATGACTTTTCTATTTCTGTGAAAAATAATACGTTTTGAAACTTTATTGTTAGTAATATTATAATATAGAGCTTTTTTGGGGTACATAACACTTCCGTAGGCTTTAATTTTGGGATTTCGACGGCACTTCTGGAAAGTAATTATGAGCAGAGAGTGTGCATATATATTATATATATGTACACACATAGCTATAATTGGTATATATATTGATTGGGCACTTTTGGTATAAACTATTAGGGCCCGTCCGCACAGCGATATTTCACGGCGAGGTTTTCATTCGCGCGGAAATAAATCGCGACCGTATCGCGTTCAATTTGTTTCGTCGCAGATTTTTTTCAGGGTGTGCGGTTAGGCCTATATAGATCCCATGTGTCACGGAATTTTGCGAAAAAAAACGTGTGTCGTTTCCTAAATTCACTATACCAGTAAACGTTACGTTGTTAGTCCCCTGTAATATGTAGGTCACGGCAACGTTATTAAACGACTAGTATTTTTATCACCCGACCGTAGCCTGCCATTTTTAAGCCGACCGGTAGTGTGGCGCCAGACATCAAACTAGTCTCAGTATATGTATTAAATCATTATTTATTAAAGAGTGAACCGTATTCTTTAATAAAATTTGATAACTTTTATTTAAGACTACTTTAATAGACTTATTATTATTAAACACAATAGGTATATTTTATAAAGTATTTTATCTTTATGTGACCCAGTTTATTGCTCTCAAGTGAATTTTTGGCATTTAACAGATAACATTTAAGTATATTGATTTCGCAATAAATGTCGGTATTTGTCTACAAGTTTATTGTTATCTAAAGTACGAGAAGTTTAAACATGTTTCGCTGAAAACCGTAAAGTCTTTATGTAGTAAGTAGAAATATTTTCAACTACCTACTTGACCTCTTTACAATTGCGTATTATAGAATAGCACATGATGTTTTATATCATAACAATATGTATTATAATAACAATGACAAAAACTTATTGTCGTGTTAGAGCCATGCTTATCGTGTGGTGACGGATTAAGAATAAAGTGTCACCACCCCTATTCATCCCAAAGGTGTCGTAAGAGCCGACCAAGGGAGGAACTTACGCAGGACAAGAACACTGCAAAAAGAAGGAAAATTTGAAACAAACCCTATACCAACCCGTCTGTCCAGCGTGGTATAGTATGCCAAAACCTACATTGTAGTTAGTAGTATTGAGTTGCAGGAGTCCATGGGTAGCAGTAATCTCTTACCCGACTTCTCGTTTGCACCCTATTAAAAAAAGGAATCCCTCATTCTTAATGCTTTTAATCAATAATTATAAATGGTAACCTTCTAATGGTTACCACAGTTACGTGTTACTACAACAAAACACTACCACTATTACCAAGCATCATATATTAATGACAAACCCACCGATCAATAAAATAACAAATGTTATTTAAACAAACTAAAGGAGTCAAGGATAGTGTTCCCGAGGACTATAGGCTTTTAGCCTTTTTTTAAGGCTAGACTTGTAATTAGGGGCTTGATAGGCTAAAAGTCCATAAAGACTTTAAGTCCTTTAGGCTAGGTCTATTCAAGACTCTTGGGTTTAGATCCAAAGGCCTAAGCTTTTTTAAGGCTAGTCTAACAACAGTAACGCTCATTAACCATCTGAAAGGGCCATAAAGGCTATGAAGCTTTTAGTCCTCGAGGCTATAGCTATATAATATATTATTCTCACACATTTCACGGGCGGCCGTGTGATCCCATACTAGGCAGAGCCTGTACTATGGTCACCAGACTGCTGGTAAACATACTTATATATTTCTAAATACATACATATTTTAGATATAAGTACACTCAGACACAGAACAAATGACCGTGCTTATCACACAATTATTTGTTCTAGGTGGGAATCGAACCCACGACCTCTGGCGTAGCAGTCAGGATCACTAACCACTAGACCAACAGGCCAGTCCATATAAGTAATTATGACTTAATTTTTATTTTATTGTCTCTTTGTTTGATGTCTCTTAAAAATTCTCGATTTTTTACTTATTATTCTCGAATTATTTACTTTTCAGTGGATTTCCTTCCATTCTTATTGCTCTTTAATAATTTTCAAATTGATCCATTATTTATGAGTTTAATTTGAAAATGTAAAAAAAAGTAACTATTTAACTAAGATAGGTATTTGAAGTTTAATAAACTGAAAGTTCTACCTTAAAACCAAAAGTACATCAGTTGAGTCAAAAAAGCGCAAAAAAAAAATGGCATTTAATATTTTATCTATATCTGATACAAGTGTTCCCAGTGAACAATCGTTTTCCGAAGCATGCAATTTGATTAATAAGAAAGGAATTCGCCCGTCTAAGAAAAACTTTAGATCCTCAATGTGCCTTTCGTCCTTGCTGAATTGTTTTTGTGATACTTAGGTAAAATTCAATTTTTCTTTTCTTTTTCTTAAAATAAATCCAATATAAAATAAATGTTATTTTCATATAATGGCTTACTTAGACTAAGTCTCAAAAGTAGCTTCAGCCCTAATATAAGCCTGTTGTTCAAAAAAGATTTCAGTCGCAAAAAAAACCCTAAAGGCTTTTATAGGCTCATAGGCTTTTTCAATTAACAAGTCTTTTAAAGCCCTTTTTTATTAGCATAGCTCTAAAAAAGGACCAATAGGCTTAAATTTAGGGCTAAAGGCCACTCGTCGTTGACTCCTTTAGTTTGTTTAAATAACATTTATTTTATTGATCGGTTGGTTTGTCATTAATGTATGATGCTTAAAATAATAGTGGCAATGTATTGTTGTAGTAACACGTAACTGTGGTAACCATTAGAAGGTTACAACCCAGATACCAGGTATGAGCCCCCGAACGATACGTTACGATACCCCCGAAACCCACATACGAACAAGTGATGATGCTGCAATATGTGTCCTGGGTTTGAATCGAAGCAACGCCCTCTGGTTTAACAGTCAGGGCCACTAACCACTAGATCAACACGCCAATCTGAATATGTGTGCTGCAGCCATAGACTTATAATATTATTTTTATACCAGCTGGTACCCGCGACTTCGTTCGCGTGTAGTTTGACAAGCGCTGCCTCAGGGGGGGAAGAATTTTCAAGGGGCGGCAAAAACAGAAATCGAAACGAAAACGAAACTTTTGCAGAATTTGTCGAATGTGTTGAATATCAGAGGTCTGATATTGGCTGTCGCAAAGGATGGAGGTCACCTGTGTCTGATCCGCAAAGAGCCAACGCCCGGATGCTGCCACTGCGATACCCAGAGCGTGGTCATGACCCTTTATGCGCTGCCAGGTTATCCAGCGTGTATGGAGCAGAGGCATGACATTGTGACTGATTGCGACCATGGTACGGAGCGACTAACTCTCCTGCGGGGTGAAGTGGGACCGGGAGGGTCTTAGAACCATCTCCCGGCTCACCAGGCCCGGGATCGGACCATTTACTGTGACGGCTTAAGTGCTGGTGGTCGCTAAATGATCTCCGTCTTTCATAAGCGCCGGGCCTGCGGTGGACAGGTAGCGACGCAACGCGCTCCGGAGCTCCTTTAGGGGCAGGTAGAGGAAACCATAGTCACTACACATCAGAGACAATCTGTAAGCCGTAAATGACTCGGGACCCGTCGGGGTATCAGGGATTTCCTTTCTAGGTTACATGAATCGAGATGACGCGGCGTGCGGTGTTAAAGCCAGAGCTGACTAAAGTGCCAGACGACGTGCCAAAGACGTGCAGCCATGTACTATTCAAGACAAAACATGGAATGCGATTTCTTGGGCGTGCGGGATCGCGGTAAAATTACAAGATTGCTTCAACAGCAGTCCGATGTCTATAATGACCTCATAGACGAATGGCAGCAACGCTGGGACGAATCATCCAAGGGGCGCCATCTTTACCAATTTTTTCCATCTGTTCGCGAACGGTTGTCGAGGACATGGCTTGAGGTGGATCACTGTGTCGCTCAGTTTCTTACGGGTCATGGTAACTTTAAGAGCAAGCTTTATTCATTTAAATTAGTCGAGTCACCATTGTGTCAATGCTCAACACCTAACTCTCACTATGAACAGTCTGCTCATCATATCCTCTGGGAATGTAGTCTTTGGTATAATCTTTTTTTTTCTTTTTTAAAAAGACAACGCCCGCATTAGGAATAAATCCTGTGTCGCGGGGGACTTTACAAACATACATGAAACGGACACAAAGGACACCCAGACTCAGAACAACAATTTGTGGATCACACAAAGTGTCGTCCCATGTGGGGTTTGAACCCACAACACTCGGCGTAGTAGGAAGCGGCGTGGCGACCGCTTAAACCACTACGCCATCCGTGCAGTCACGGCAGTAATGAACGTAATATAATGCTGAATAGCTTGCAGGTGACATCTGGGGCGGTATACTATGGGGATCTTGTGTCAACTAGGGTGAATTTCCGTGCGTTTAGGCGATTCTGCCATACATATTATAGAAATCAAATATAGCTCATGTAGGACCCGTAATATTTTGTGGCCGTGGTGCTTTCCTGATTAATTTCGTTGCGGGTTCCAAGACAGTTTAATTTCTTCCTGGGACTTCCCGAGTGTCATAACGGTGTGTTCGTGGGTCACTGCTGTGGATCCTGGTGTACAGGAGTTACAGTGGTGGGCGTGTGGGTGGGATTAGTCCCATTAAAAAAAATACTATCAAAGAACACTAAAACCTAGCAGCAATCGCGGTTGATTTGCTGTCATTTTTTAAAGAGTTCCATTGTCTGTCTCCAAAACCCATTATCAGATCTATATTAAATTTAAATGGAAACTTTTCTTTATAAACCCCTTTCGAACAAAAAATTTGAAAATCCGTCCATATATGACGGAGTTATGTATGCATAAAAAAATATAAACATCCGAATTGGCAATCTCCTCCTTTTTTAAGTCGGTTAAAAATAGCCTAAGTTACTCCTTGTATAGACAGCTACCTGATAGTAGAATATTATCAATATCGGTAAAGCCGTTTTTAAGCTTACCCGAATTACTACCTGCTAACGAACAGACAGACAGACAAAAAATATTTAAACTGGTTTTTAGGCATAGGTACCGTGCAAATAATCGTGTGAGCATGAAAAAAAAACCTATTATAATTTGACATTACATACATAGATATACTAATGTATAGCTGTATAGACTAATGAGCGGCCTATCGCAAGTCTAACTATTAAATAATATACCTAACTTATCGTTTTTGGTTTTGTTAATTTTATAAAATTAATTATTGATTTGATGTTATAATTTAATCATAATTTTTAGATGTATAATTGCTAAAATATGCGACGTCACACTCCCCCAGTCACAAATCTGACCAAATGGTGACGGGGGTTGGTGTCAAAAACCATGAAATTCCTATGTCATATTTTTATGGATCCCTCGCATATCAGGATAACGTCCCTTCCTTAAATATACTTCCCAGATAGAAGCATTTATACATTAAATTTGTCAATTGAATTGGCTTCTAGATGATATAAAATTTATGACATGACAAATAATAGTATTAAGTTCTGTCTGTAGTCATGTCTGTTATCTCAAAATGATCTATCACTTCACTTTATGACTTTTATCTTTTTACATCATGTTCTTCTCTCAAGTGTCACTATATAAATAAATAAAACATTATATTTTTTTATATTTTTATAATATATTAGATGACTGCATTGTATGTCACATGTCTGGATATGAATTACCATGGCACGACGTCATACCAAGCTATTGTTAAATCGTTTATATTCAACATTTATTTGAATTTATAAAATCAATAATAACATTAAATTTATAATAGTCTCAAGAACAGTCTTAAGAACAGGATTACGTTTTTGCTGCTTTTAGACATCCTCTCTGCAGAGAACTGTTTGTGGCATTGATGGTGAATAGTTCTCGGTTCAGCTGCCCAGCTCATTACGTCTGGAGTAGGTCTAACATTGCGTAAATAATAGCTAGAGCTAAATCTCATAGCTGTGACTCGAATGTTGTTATCGGGAAAGGTCCCCAACCCCTTTTTATCATCAACAGCCTTTACTAGTCCACTGCTAGACATAGGCCTCTCCTTAGAAGGGAGGTTTTGGCCTACTATACGACGCTGGCCCTTTTAAGTTTGTTTAAATAACATTATTTATTTTATTGATCAGTTGGTTTTTCAAATGTCCATGGCTTGGTACTAGTGCCAGTTTTTGTTATAGTAGCACATAACTATGGTAACCATTAATAATAAATAGAGCTTGATGTTGTGACTTTTTATATAATGACATTATTATTAATTTTTATTCTTTCATCATCATCAGCCTATTACCGTCCACTGCTGAACGAAGGCCTTCTCATTTAATTTTTTTATATATCTTGTGTGTCCATGTGTGGTGACGGATTAAGAATACGGACTGTAACCACCCCTATACATCCCATGGATGTCGTAAGAGCTGATTAAGGTAGAAAACTACGAATGACAACAGTACTGCAAAGAGAAGGAAAACTTGGCACAAATCCTTTACTAACCCGTCTGCCCAGCGTGGTATAGTATGCCAAAACCTCTTTTCTAAGGAGAGGCCCGTGTCCAGCAGTGGTCTATTAAAGGCTATTGATGATATATTTTGTATGGTATAGAGGGGTGGCATCATGCATATGAGTCACCAGTCACATGAGGGTTCTATGGACCACGGTTCACAGAACAGTTATAAACTGAATTAAAATATTTTACGTAATTTAATATTAGTATGTCCGTGTAGTGACGGATTAAGAATACGGAATGTCACTACCCCAATTCATCCCGTGGGTGTCGTAAGAGGCGACTAAGGGCGCAAAACAACGCAGGACACCAGCACTGCAAAAAGAAGGAAAACTTGATACAATCCCTATTCCAAACCCGTCTAGCCAGCGTGGTATAGTAGGCCAAAACTTTCTTTCTAAGGAGAGGCCTATGTCCAGCAGTGGACTAATAAAGGCTGTTGATGACGATGTGATGAATATTAGTAAATATAGTGCTTTATGTATGTATACCTAGTACTTATATATCTGTAGGACTTTTTATTTTCTGCCATTGTAACGTTTCTTGATTCAGTCTCATCTGTACCTGTCCCAAATATACACCTGCCACACACAGATTTGCAACAACCAAAGGTTTGACTGGAAGAAAATGCTTGAGGCATTAAGTCCGCCTTATGTAATATGTTTGCAGGAAAACTCAATAAATAAATATGTCCTAATGTAATATTTATAAAAAATTGATTATGAGGTGAAACTCTTAAGTTGGTAACATTGTTTAAAACTTGCACAAATATGTTAAGTAATAATAAAATTAATATCAATGTAAAATATAAAAATACAAATATTATTATTTAACATTTTATATAAATATTATTATTTACCTTCCAGGTGCCGATCCCTAGAATTGGACACTCGCAGCCATTATGGAACTTAACCATTGATACTTTAGAAGCCATTGTAAAGTCGTCTTACTAACTCCAAATTAATAAAAACACCGGATTATGTATACTACGTCAACCACAGAGTAGGTATATTGAATAATATGACAAACGCCGGCTGGTCAAGGTTAACTGCTTTGACTTTGTTGTCAGTAATGTCAGTGTCACACGGTGTTGCCATATGTGGTTTTTGTTAAAACCGTGACAATAAGTTTTTAGTTATTGTTATATAGGAAACAATTATCGACGGCTTTCAACGTCATAGCGACGTAAACTTAAAAAAAATCAACAAAAAAATCAAATCAAAAATTATTTAACGTTATCATTCAAAGTTTATTTTATTAGTATTAGTTATTCCTTATGTTTCAATATATAATGTGCTCTCAATATGTAATCTTTTATTTAGATATGACTTGAAATTCCATTTGAAAAGTGAAAAAGATGATGGAAGTGTCGATTATTTAAGATTTTTGTTTATAATTTGTACTTTAAATAATCAATTGAAATTTCATACATAGGTACCTTCTGGTTTTTTTTTACCTCGTCGCCATCACGAACTGGAAAAGCGTGACTAGTAAAATGACTTATCCGTATTGATTTAAGTAGGTGTGTTTACAGTTTATTGTCATGTAGAAAAAGACTAGAGTCTAGATTGAGAAGACCGCTGTTATACTCGTATGTACAGGACAGCGACTTTGCAGAGTGAATCATAAAATTACCTAGAGATCACTGTCTGGCTGACATTGTTGGACCGTTTTGAATATCTTGTCCTCTTCACGCCTAAACAGCTGCACATAAAGATAGTTCGAATCCCAGGAAAGGACATGGGATAGTCTTACTCCTAGAAATCATCCTTTAAGGGGATGAAAATGGAGATGGAAGTTTGAATGGGGAATCAATAACCGTTGAATAGATTTAGATGAAATTTGGCATGGGGATAGTTTGATTCTTGAGGAAAGATATAGGCTTTTTACTGCGATAACAGAAGTACACGCGGGCGGGTAAAACTAGAATGATGTACTTTCGTATTTATTATTTAAAAATAGGTACAAATAATTTTGTTCATGTAAAACAATATGGATATTTCTCTGTGTGTGTGCACATATTCTGGCATAACACATAATGTTAAAACATTTCAGTTTTTTGAGCTCATTCTACATTTAAACATTAAGTATTTTAAAGTGCGCCATATTTAGATATTTCTCTAGGCTAGTACTATAATATATAGGGCCCTCATCGCACATGACGTTATGGCAATCTCTTACATTGAACTGCATTAATATTAATTGCAACACTAGAGTGTAACTAGTGTAGTTTTGGATATTTGTACTCGTAAACAAAATAGTCGTTTGACTGTCTTTGTTATATTAAATGAATGATAATTAAATCTGCGTCATAAAACTTAAAGATAGTTAAGTTGAATAAGTCAAGGACATCGGACCCATCCAACAATAGACAGTAGATTTATATTCTTACCTTCCAAGTCCCAAGGCCGAGTACAGGATAAACCTGTCCATTATTAAAGGTTACAGTCGGTACCTTCACCATTTTTTACAAATAAATACACAACCGATGTCGAAGCCAGCGACTTGTAAAGTGAACAGCTTATCGTTGTCGCAGTTAGCCCTCTTATCTACGTAAGACTGTCATATTTAATGTCGAGTCACAAATATATGTTATGATATTACACAATATTATGTTTACACACATATTAATGTTTCACGGACGGCATAGAGGTATAAGCGGTTACCTCGCCGCTTCCTACTGCGCTGAATGTTATGGGTTTAATCCCCACGTAGGACAATACTTTGTGTGATGTACAGATTGTTATTCTGAGTCTGGGTCTTCTTTGTTTCCGTTTCATGAGTGTATGCAAAGTCCCACGCAACGGCCGCGAAACAGGATAAATTCCTAGTGTCTTAAAAATATAAAAATAGAAAGTGGAACTGGACTTTAGACTCCGTTAACCTCTTTCAATAACTGAAAACCTCGATCAACGGTTTTTTGTTAGGCCTTGGTATCTGTTAGTAACACTTATAAACTAGTTTAAGCGATGTCTATCTATCTTTTTATAGTATAGGAGTAAAATAAGTAGACTTGATGTTAGGTGACTGCAGCCGCCCACGAACACCTGCAACTTAAGACTCATAAGTGCGTTCCTGGGGTTTGAGTGCCTAGAGTTCTGGCGACAGATAATGGTCCACATCGCACTCACAAATAAAATGCTACGAAAGAAGTGCTTAACACTGGTTTATACATACCTAGGTATTTTGTGAGTTGAATTGACAGTTCACAACCCTTGCAATATCATTAATATGTTTATATGTATATTTATCTCATTATAGAATGCTTTACATCAAAAGTTCTCATTAATACAGTTCGTTTGTTTTTTCTCGGGAACACTGAGTTTATTAATATGTCTGCGATTCTCTGAAGCTATAAAAAACAAGTTTCTAAGTCAGGCAATCGAATGCATGTATGTTAAGTCTTCTTGGAATAGCTTAATGATACTTTCATAAAACAATTTCTTCATTTTCATTCATTTCATTTATTCTTTAGTCTGAAGAGAGAGTGATATGTGCCAAAAACCTTACTTATTTTTAACTTGTGTGAAATATGGTTTAATAGTCTTGTTATAGAACACTGGAGGCAGTAAAGTATGATCAAGGTTATTATACATCTATCTGCCTTCCTTTCTTCGACTAAAGGTATTTATAATAAATAAGATAATAGCTACATTGTTAGAATTGCATACAAGAGGTTGCTGTTTGAACTCCACACAAAAGTACATTCGTAAACACACTCATAATACAAGGTTACAACCTGGCTGGTGGGATTTAAAAGAATACTAGTAACGTGTGACGCGTGACGTCACTATTTCTTAACCACTGGTAGTAAAAGTAAGGTATGAAGAATAGAGTTTACAGTAATTTATCATGATTTAAGCACATTAAAAAGGATGATACTTTTCAAAAGTGAATTATCGACCTTTTTTTCGGTAACATTTAATTTAAAGATTAGAAATCACTTTATGATTTTTCCAGCATCATCAACCTATCGCAGTCATCTCCTAGACATAGGCCTCTCCCACTGCACGCCACTTAGATCGATTTTGGGCTTCTCATATATAGACTCGTTTGTAAATATATGTATGTATTTTAACGTTTTCATATTAATACGAAAATAAAATCATTTATTTTAAATACTCAAAATTTTAAGTGGAAGTCAGTCAGAATAAGTTAATCATGAAGCCAGTAGTTCCCTTTCATTATCGCGACCATCTACTATCTACATCATACATACATCTACTATCGAAAAACGCGAACATCTACTACTATACGCACACATCTTCCCGCGACGTGAAATAACTACTGGTACATTTTGTAACAAGCGGCAATAATAAACGAAACTATTTCCCTTATGAATCATTTTTTTATTTTATGATTATAATTATAATTTGTATACGTATATAATTTGGCAAGTGTTCCGACTTATTCGAGTGTACACAACGGAATGAATCAACCAAATGAGTGGGACAGGAATTTATAACCATGGTTTGACAGTTGGATGTGACGTCGCCGACGATTAATGGCGGGCTTGGCTGACAGTTTCGGCACTAAACTGTTGTGGCGCGGCATTGGCTTGACTTGACTTGATATGGCTTGGCTTCATATAGCTTGGCTTGGCTTAATATGGCTTGGCACGGCGTAGCGTGATAATTTAGTAAAAATTTGGTTGTAATAGAAGCTGAAATGTTTAATAAACCCCTTCTTCCACATCCACGTGGAAGCAACCGAGGTGTTTCATTTCTCCGCGTGGGCGTCTGAACGCAAGTTCCTGGTCGACCAAATCGGACGAGACCTGTCCCCACCAGCAATCATTGCTGCCATGCTGGCGGGTGAGGAGGGCTGGGGCGCAGTGGTCTCTTTCTGTGAAGCTGTAATGCTCCAGAAAGGGACCGCTGAACGGGATCGGGAGAGGGCCGATCCCGAACGTAGAGGACGTAGGCGCCGATATCAGCCGTCGACGGGGCCGCGGGCCGCCAGGGAGTGGGGACCTCTGGTGGCAGATTGATTGCTGCGGTTGGGGATGGAATGGCGGGCCTGATTGCATTAAGATGCGATCGGGCCGCCATGCCGCGATAGAAGGGGGAAGTGTTCTCCCCTGGGATAGGGCCTGATTAGGCATGGTGTCAATTCGAGGAGGACCTGAAATAACATGGTCCGGGTCCTCCCCAGAGTAGGACACCTAAGGCCGGCCGTCGGGGTGGTTTTTAGTGGAATCACCACATACTCCTGGCTCCTCAGTCAAAAAAAAAAAGAAAAAAAAAGGTGTTCTTTGTGTCCTTTTCATGTACGTTTGTAAATTCATCCGCGACACAGGATAATTCGGAAGTTGTCTTTAAAACAAAAAAAATAAAAAGTATTTTCTAAGTATAACATCAAAACTAAAAAATAATAATCAGATTTAACGACTCCAGCTTTTACAGATAGTTCTGTGTATATTATATTGCCATACCTACATACTTGGTCCGTGTGAATTTAGTGGTTCTTAAAATTGCTTTAGGGGGCAAGTTTTTAATAAATTGGCAACACTGCCTCGGAAACACGACACTTGGTGGTATACGCGTTTGAAGTTACAATGCAAATGCAAGAAGTATAAGTAAAATATATTTTTTATTGAAGTTAAATAATTTTATTATATATTGAAGTTATCAACATAAATGTACAACAGCACCATATATTTCTTTGAATTAACTTGTGCACACACTTCTTTATTAAGAACATGATTGGATACTTTCTGCGTCCATATTTCTTTACGATCGAAATTCATTCTGAGGAGGTAGGTATGTCTTAAAAACTTAAATCGGTTTCATTTTAACCCTTAACTAATCACCAAATAATTTTGAACTAAAAGAAACTAAACATTAATAGCACATAATTGTTTTGAATTGAAAACATTAAACAATCATAACGAAACCCAGATAAAAGTATGGTTTTTTCTTAGACACTGTTTTT